GGTGCCCAGGGGCCTCGGGCAGAGCCAGTGTCCGGCGTCTGGGTGCGGGGAGGGTCGCCCTGAGAGGCGGGTGCCCAGGGGCCTCGGGCAGAGCCAGTGGCCGGCGGCTGGGTGCGGGGAGCGTTGTCCTGAGAGGCAGCGGCCTGTGGGGCGAGGCCGGTGTCTGGCGACTTGGGGGTCACAGTTCCCCATCCGTCCCTGACATGACTGTGAAGTAAATGTGGACACATGGGCGTGATTTTTACCCTGTGGGCAGTCGTGTCTAATTGATGCCCCGAGGCAGCATTGAGCAGCTCTTCTGGGAGAAGTGTAAGAATTTGGTGCAAAGACAGACCAGGTTGCCGGCTTCATCATACGTGCTCCTCCTTCCCTCCGTGTTGCCACGCGCGCTTTAACGTTATAACTGAATGCAGAGAACACTGTGCAGATGGTTCCGGAAGGCGAGTGAGGGTTCTGCTCTCCTTCAGTTGACAGGCAAGTCAAGTCTCTGGCCTCGGTCCTGTCTCGATACCAGGGTTTCCACGGTGACGATGGTGGCAGGAAGAACTGCTTTGGAAGGAACGGTGATCCCCTGTACATCCAGGTGAGCCGTTGGTCCTGCTCCCATTGTTGTAGGCCGTCTGGCACCTCGGCCTTCCACGGTGTTACTCAGAGGGGGCCCTCTTCATGGAAACACGGGAAAAGTAAACAGAGACTCGGGCAGACAGGTGGGGGCCCTAACAGACCCCTAGGCGGTGCCCTGACGCGGACCCCCAGGTGGGCTTTTGTGCTCAGTTGCACTGCGAGCATGCAGGGTCTGGTCTCGGGCTGTGAAAGGGTGCTCTTCAGGTGGGAGCCCACCGAGTCCCCCCTCTGCCTCCTGGGCCCGGGCAGCCCCGCCTCGGCCGCTGTAGCCCAGCCTCACAGCAGCCCCAGGAGCCGGGGGCTTCTTCTCCCAGATGGTTGTCAGCCTCTCCTACGATTCAGTTCACGCAGACTCCCAGGAACACAGCTTCCACGGCAGCCGTACTGTTTGAAGGGAGTGCAACAGCGCGTGAGGGGGGCCTCCCCTGGGCTTCGTAGCTGCGTGATGGGCGGAACACAGCCAGCCCCCTTCCCCGTCCCCAAACAGGTCGGTACAGAGGAGCCGTCCAAGCCGTTCCTCTCGTGCTCTTCCTCCGGCTTTGCTGCAGGAGTGACTTCAGGTGGGTGCTACCTTCCTGGTGTGGCCCTCAGACTGTCAACGCTCACCCTTCCAGGTCCCTGTGGGCACTCTGGTCAAGGAGGGAGAGGACACCGTGGCGGACCTCTCTCGCCCAGGCGAAGAGTACATCGCTGCGCTTGGGGGCGCAGGGGGGAAGGGCAACCGCTTCTTCCTGGCCAATGACAACCGCGCACCTGTGACCTGCACCCCCGGGCAGCCCGGCCAGGAGCGGACCCTCCTCCTGGAGCTCAAGATGGTGGCCCACGCTGGGATGGTGGGTGTCGTCACGCCACTCCCATCCCCAGTGCTTGAGAGGGAGGAGCACCAGGCCCCTGCCATCCCCAGGGAGAGGAGGAGCTGCCCCTGAGGTCGGCTCGGGCTCCCCCACTCACCAAGGGCTGCCCTCCTCCACTGTGATGGGCTCATGGCCATGAGTCACCTCCTCCCACACCCCCGTCCCCAGGGCTGCCCTTGTCTGCACCATGATGGGCTCATGGCTGTGGGTCATCCCCTCCCACACCCCCGTCCCCAGGTCTGCCCTCCTCCACTGTGATGGGCTTGTGGCTGTGGGTCACCTCCTCCCACACCCCCGTTCCCGGGGCTGTCCTCCTCCACTGTAATGCGCTTGTGGCCATGGGGTGACTTTTTGGAATCATGGGGCCCACACTCCTTGTCTCCAGGTTGGCTTCCCCAACGCCGGGAAGTCCTCACTGCTCCGAGCCATCTCCAACGCGAGACCTGCCGTGGCCGCCTACCCATTCACCACTCTGAAGCCCCACGTTGGCGTTGTGCACTACGAAGGCCACCAGCAAGTGACAGGTGGGACTTCCACCACATCAGGTGGCCTGAGCCAGGTGATGGGAGCAAGCCAGGAAGATAAGCGGTGGCTTCCTTGTTATGACATACTGCTTCTCTTGGGTGACAGGGCACACTGCTCCCTGTCAGGTGAGGCTTGAGCTTTGCTCCCGCTTCTTCCCTCTGGAATCTGTGGGCTCCTGTTCCATCGGGAGTCAGCTTCCCCTCAGAGAGCATTGTTCTTGTCCCACCTTCCTCTGCTCGGGTGGACGATGGTGGTCGTGTCACGTTTTATATCAGTGAAGCGCTCCACCGGGATTCGGCGCCCCTCACATCATCCTGTCTCCCCTTTTCTGGGTCGCTCGGAGCTAGCCAGACTGCGCTGTCCGTGTTGCCTGTGAGAGCACCGGCAGCGTGCCGGTCGCCCCAGCTCTACAGCGTGTCTGGTACTGCAGAGCCGTGATGCACGCTGTCAGCCCGCCCACGGGCCCCTGACGTCAGAGTCGTGCTGCTTAGCTGCCCTCCTGTTCTCAGAAGGACAAGTCTTAAAACCCCGGAAAAGGGTGCCTGCAGCCTTGTGCTCCAGGCTTCTGTCCAGGCTCAAGGTGGAGGGACGTCGGCAGGGTGTGGAGGGGCCACGGTGTGACCCTGTGCCGTGTCTCCGCCCACAGTGGCCGACATCCCCGGCGTCATCACGGGTGCACACCAGAACCGCGGCCTGGGGTTCGCCTTCCTGCGTCACGTCGAGCGCTGCCGCTTCCTACTGTTTGTGCTCGACCTCTCGGGGCCTGAGCCCTGGGCACAGCTCTCAGATCTCAAGTGTGAGCTGGAGAAGTACCAAGAAGGCCTGTCCGAGAGGCCCCACGTGGTCGTTGGGAACAAGATTGACCTCCCCGAGGCCAGAAGCCACCTGCCCAAGCTCCTGGGCCGCCTCGGGCGGACACTCATCCCCCTGTCGGCCACCACCGGGGAGAACCTGGAGGCACTGCTGGTGCGCCTGAAGGAGCTGCGTGATGACCATGTGGACTCCGAGCGGGCACTCAGCCACCGACCGCTCTGCTGGTAGTGTCTGCCCAGGACAGAGCCGCTGGTGCCAGCGGGCACAGTAGGGTGTGGGCACCAGTGGAAGCCTGAGGATTTCCCAGGTTGCTGCCTGAATAAATCACAGAATGCAGTGGACGTGTGCGAGGAGGCGCCTGGCGGGTTGTCCAGGGTCGGCCGTTGGTGCCTGTGTCTTCCCTGGTTAGCCTGGGCTTGCCCCTTAGTGCACCCCTGCCCTCCAGGCCAGCGTCCCTTTGGTACCAGCATACGCTGTACCACCTGCCACCCACTCCGTTCACAGCACTTCCCACCGCCGTGGCCCTCGCTGGGTAATTGCTGAGGTTGGACTCATTTGTGTTAATTAATTAGCAGGGGACCACAGTGCTAAGTGATGGTGTAAGATGCTAAGAATGCACGCTCACAGCTGAACTAAGCAGAGGCTGGCGTGGGCCCGGCCACACTTGGGCCTTGACCACTGTCCCTTTGCATCTGTGACATGGGGCCTCTAGGTCCACTCCCCACCTGGTGGGCTCATCACCAGCTGCTCCTGCGGCTTGGCAGGCCGGGTCTGCATGGCAGTCTGGCTGCAGGTGGGGTGAGGACATTGCCACGACTCCATGCAGGGCTTGGGGGACGGGCCGTCCTTGCGAGTGGCGTCTGCAAGGCAGGCAGGACAGCTCCTCCCCGTGTGCTCAGACTCCCACAGGAACCGGACGTGGACTTCACAGCCGAGTGCCCCCAATATCCGGGTGGGCGCGCCGTGGTGGCTCAAGCCTCAGCCTCCGCACCACGTGATGAACTCGTGGGACGGGGACCCTCAGCCCCGTTCACGCCTGGCTGCACCGAGCACATGGGGTGGGGCTGGGCCGGGTCTCCATGCACACTCCCCGCACAGTCCAGGAGGGGACAAGTGAAGGGTCTAGACGAGCGTCCTCGGGAGGACTCGGCCATTGGGTTTGGCTCATCCCGGGGCTGGAGATGCCCTGCAAGTCCCCTGCTGGGGCTGCAGTCAAGACACAATGGCCAGGCCCCCGCCCGCCAGCCAGCGCCCGGCTCCCTATCTGGAACAGCTTGGTTTTGATCTAACATCAAATCTGAGACTAGAACAAGGCAGTCCTCTTAGCCGGAGCTTGGTTTAATGTCTTATAATTTCAAAGGTCCTGCGTACATCACTCTCAGGCCACCTCAAAGGGTTTTGTTAACATCAGACCAGGCTGAGTGTGCGCTAATTACCTTGGCTTTCATCCTTGGAGCTGGGTCACCCACCACTATGTGACCTGCGGGAGTGGGAGTATGAGACAGCCATGATGCCCCTCTCCAAGCCACTCCAGCCCGCCCTCCCTGCTCCTCGGCCCCGGCCCTCCTGCCCCGGCCCGCCCTCCCCGCTCCTCGGCCATGACTCTTCTGTCCAGTTCTGGCCCATGTGATTCGCCACTTGTTTGCTGGCCATCCACTTGGCTACTGTGAAGGGTGTCTCCCTGTGCCTTGTTATGTAACCATCAGACGTGGATGAAGACTCAACCTTCTCTCTTTCTTCTGCTTCTGTATCACAGCAGGGCCACCCCAGCCCACACCTGCTGGTGCCACCGCTGAGGACCAAGCATCCAGTGACCAGTGGTGGCAACACTGGGCGGGCAGCACACCCACAGGGCCCTCCATCCAGCCAAGTGGGGTGGGGCACCGTGACCAGGGTCTCACCCTTGTTCCACGAGGGAGCCCTTACTCAATGCTTTCATGCTGCTGGGACTGAGCCTTCGGGCCTGCCGATCTCCCGCACCCCCAGAAAGTGTTGGCCGTAACGTTAACGTTGATCTCTTGCTCACGTACCACCCAGTTAGGTACAGGGGACTAATTCCTGTGGGTCCTGTCTCTCCTCTGTTGTAGGGACAGAAATGTTGACATCTTTTCTTGAATTGAGATATGGTTTCCATACCAGAAACCTCACTGTTGAAAGTGGACAACTCGGGTTTCTAGTGTGTGCACAGGCTGTGAGGCCCTCTCCACTGTCCGTTCCCGGCACATTCTCACCCCAAAAGGAGGCCCTGGCCCCACCGGCAGGACTTCGTGCCCCAGCCACCCCGAGTCTGCTGTCTCTGGGTCTGCCCGTTCTGGGCCGTCTGCAAATGCTGTCACAGCAGGTGGCCCTTTGCATAGGCGGGGCAAGGACATGGGGAGGCTGGGCACCCTGGCAGGCTGGACCAAGGGCCTCCGGGAGAGGCCATCCGTGATCCAGCCCGTCCACCTTCCCGGCTTGCCCTGCCCCTAGTCCCAAAGGAGAAGCAGGGCCTGCTGTCAGCAGAAGGGGCAGTGAGGGCCGCCCCGAGGCCCCCCAGCGAGACATCTTAGCGCAGCTGGGTGTGCGTATCCGCTGAGCAGGTTCCGTGGTGCCTGCTCTGGAGAGGAAGGCGAGGTGGCCCTGAGAGCTGGGGGCCCCGGGGGGATGAAGCAGGACGCCAGCACTGACGGCCCTGTGGCCCTGAGCAGGTCACTCAGCTGCCCTGCACCTCGTGTCTGTAATGGGGGGCGATGGTGCCTACTTGGTGGGGTTGTTGAAGGGCAAAATGGGTTCAACAAGAAGAGCTCAAAAAGCATCCTGAAGCAGGCCCACAGCGCCCCTAGAGGACAGAGTGGAACTGCCCACAGGGTCTCCAAGGCTGTCAGTCTTCACAGAAGCAAAGCCCAAACCACACCCACTGCCGTGGAGTCCATTCTGACCCACAGCGCCCCTAGAGGACAGAGTGGAACTGCCCACAGGGTCTCCAAGGCTGTCAGTCTTCACGGGAGCAGATTGCCAAGGTCTTTTCTCCCTCAGGGCAGCTGATGGGCTTGAACTGCCAACCTTTTAGTAGCCAAGTATTTCACCAGTGTGTCCCTAAGAATCCTTTCCTGAAGCGTAAACCCCAAACCCAAATCTGTTGCCATCAAGTCAAACGCTGACCCACAGCAACCCTGTAGCATCGGAAGTGTTGAATGGGTGCTGGGCTGCTGCCCCTGGAGTCTGAGTGTTCACTCCTGGGGCCCCCGCTGCCCTTCCCATGCGGTCACCAGGCCCAACTCAGGCCTCGCTCCTTCCCTGGTTAGTCCCATGGTCTCCCTGACGACTCTGGCCCTTGGACCTGTCCTCTTGGAGCTGAGTTACCTGCCACCCTACCCCAGCTGGCCCCTGATCCCTCCCCCAGGGCCCCCAGCCCTTGGATGTCCACACCCTGGTGCTAGACATAAATGCACCATGAGGCCTGGGGAGGGGACCAGGCCTTGTTACCAAGGCATCAGGAAGGGAGGGGCACTTGACCCCCCTTTTACAGAAGGGGGAGGAGCTATTGTGGGCCCAGGGGACTTTCCTTCCCACCGACAGATGCCAGATCCTGGCTCCTCCCTACCCCTGAGATGATGAGGGAGGCGGAGCGTGTCCCTTCCAGGTGCTGGGGCCACCACAGGCCCTGGGGTTCAATGACAGGTGGGAGGTGGTGGCATCCATGCTGAAGCAGCTACCTGTGTGGCCCACAATAGGACCCTTTCAGTAATGACAGCACTTCCTGCCTGCAGGGCTGGGGAGCCCCAGTGATGTCCCCCTAGCGCCCCCTGTTCTGCAGAAGGAAACTAGCCCGGAAGCCCCATCTGGACTTGGACTCTGGTGGGACTGGCGTGGGAGGCTGGCATCCCTTCAGACTGCCTGGCTCTGAGTCCTGGCCTCACATGGACCTGCTGTGTGGGCCAGGGCTGTCCCCACCCGCTGATCTCAGTTTCACCTGTGAAACAAGGTGTTGGACTTGTTGCCCTCCAAGTGCCCCCGACCTGGCTGGGCCCCTGGGTGGTAGGAGCTGAGCCTCCAAGGCCCCACCTGGCTCATGTCTACTTGTCCCTCCTCTGCCACCAGCTAACTTGGCAGGGCTGCTGCTCACAGCTCCCTGAGCCAAGACAACTGGGTATACAGTCAGTGCTCAATAAGTGCTTCACTTGCATTCAGCAGGAACACATCTGACCCAGAGGCTGTCCTGAGCCCCTCCTGCCCCACGCCCACCACACAGCACGCAGAGGGTGGGGCTGTCCTACAGGGGTGACCCTGGAGTCACGTCAGATCCCACCTCCCACTTCTGTTGAAAGTATGGCCACTGCTCCCCTATCAACAATCTAAGAAGGACCAGCACCCCTTGTGGGGCATCCATAGGGCATTCAAAATTAGCCATCCTGGTGCCCACTGCACCCTCCCATAGGTATCCGGGGTAGGGATCTTTGCACCCTGTCCCCAGCCACAGGCGAGGCGTCGGGGAGACAGTGGCCAGACAACCACAGGCCCTCCCACCCCTAGCTGTTGGAGCCGAGGCTGGGAGATCAGGCCTGGCTATAACCATACCAGCTGTCTCCTTGTCATATCCCTGGGTCCCCAAAGGTAACGTCAGACACCTTGGCTTCGTGCAGGAGGATGCAGGAGCCTGCTGCGCATCCTGAGCGCTCAGGTTGGAGGGACAGCACATCCACATTTTTGCAGCGTTCTGTGGCTGGCGCCGTATGTGTTCTCTAAGACAACAGACTTTCTCTGTAGCTCTCCTCACTTCCTTCTGAGCCCTCACGAGACTGCTCTTGACATCCATGCCTCTGCCAACAGTCTTGTCAAGGCACAGAGGCCCCTCCTGGTCTGCCTTCTGCGGGACACCACACTCTCCCTAGCATATACCCCGGGCCTCTGCCCAGTGGGCGTGTGTTAGGGAGTGATGTGTGTCCCAAAATACACCTGTTGTCAATCCATTTGGGAATGATTTGTCTTTCTTATGCTAATGAGGTAGGATTAGCGTAGGGGGCACCTTGAGTCAATCTCTTGAGATCGAAAGAGATTAAACAAGCAAGCGAGGAAGCAGAGACAGAGGAAGAGAGACGCCAACCACATGAAGACAGCCCAGGAGCAGGAGCTCAAAGCGACAAGGACCTCCCCGAGAGCCGGCAGGGAGAAAGCCTGCCCCTAGAACCAGCGGCTCGGACTGCTAGCCTCCTCCACTGTGAGAGCACGCATTTCTGTTTGTTAAAGCCACTGTGGTGTTTCTGTTGTAACAGCATTAGACGACTAAGACAGAGTTTGGTACTGGGAGTAGGGTGCTGCGGTAACCGATACCTAAAATGGGGATGTGGTTTTGAAATTGGGTAATGGATAGGATAGAGGCTGGAAGAGTTTTAAGATGGTATTAGTGAAAGCCTCGATTGCCTTGACAAGACTGTTGGCAGAATCATGGATGTCAACAGCAGTCTGGTGAGGGCTCAGAAGGAAGTGAGGAGAGCTACAGAGAAAGTCTCTGTCGTCTTAGAGAACACATATGGCGCCAGCCACAGAACGCTGCTAGAAACGTGGATGTGAAATGTGCTTCTGCTGAGGCTTTAAGAGGAAATGATGAACATACAGCCTTATCCACTGCTGGTGGGAATGCAAAATGGCACAGCCATTGTGGAAAACGTTGTAGCAGTTCCTCAAAAATCTAGAAGTAAAACTACAATCTGAGCCAACAATTCCACTCATAGGTATGATTGGACAAGAGAGGTAAGGTGATGCTTTTTATGCTGTGGCAAAGAGCTTGGTGGAAGGTAGAACTGGTGGTGATGAGCTTGGATAACTGGCTGATGAGATTTCTAAGCAAGATCTTACAGGGGCCACATGGTTTCTCCTTGTTGCTTATAGCAAAATACAAGGGGAAAGAGATGGACTTAAAAACGAACTGTGCAAAATGAGAACAGAACTTAAAGATTTGGAAATTGCGTTGTACAAATTAAGGCTATGTGTCCTAGAATTTCCACCAAGGATGTGCTATGCAATCTTTTGTTAAAGAGATCAGCCTGTAGCTGATGGATGTAACCAGGGCCACATTAAAGCGCGTGGGGACCCTAAGCCCTGACATCCATGGCGCCCCCCTCTGCTTACTCACATATGCAAACGGATAGAAGAGTTATATATATACGTGTATATGTGTGTTAGCTGTCTATGATGTAGCTTCTTTTTAAATATGACTCTAACACTAACAGTGGCACACTAGTGTCATACGCCATTTTAGCAGAGTGAGATGAACTGGTTATAAGACATGTACTGGCTGTGGGGTACTGAGATTGTTATTATTGTCTCAGTTCTCTAGTGCTGCTACAACAGAAATACCATACGTGGGTGGCTCTAGCAAACAGAAGTCTATTCTCTCACCGTTTAGGAGGCGGGTGTTGGAATTCAGATGCCAGCTCTGTAAAGGCTCTCTTGGCGTTTGTCTCCTTTCAACAGCCGTGGGCCTGGTGTTCCTTGTGGACAGACGTGTCTGGGCACCAGTCTTCCCGTGGGTCTAGGGGGTTCTCAGCACAAGGACCCGGGCTCCAGAGGATGTGCTGCACTAGCAGCCCCTCCCTCGGGGTGGACTGAGGTCCCTCTGACCTCTGCTCAATTGTTTAACCTCTTTTATATCTTAGAAGAGATTGACTCAAGACACAGCTTCATCCTGTAGATTATGTGCTGCCCCGTTAACATAACTGCCTCTACCCCCAGCCTCAGTAACATCATAGAGGTGAGGATTTACAACACACAGCACAATTACACAAAATGGAGAGTAATCGCACGTGGATGTGAAATGTGCTTCTGCTGAGGCTTTAAGAGGAAATGATGAACATACAGCCTTATCCACTGCTGGTGGGAATGCAAAATCGCACGACTGAGAGTCGTGGCCCAGCCAATGTGGCAATTTTTTTTTTGGGGGGGGGGACACAGTTCAATCCATACCAACTATTAGCAATTCTTTTACAAAAAGAATATTCCACATATTCTACAACAAGGAAAACGAGTCCGTGAAGTTAGTTATTTCAGCAGTCAATGTAAACTTCTGTTCATCTCCCACAATGAAAATTGACTTTCACCAATTTTGCTTTAAATTTTAAATTTTGATATTTGTTTCATCATAAATGCTCTAATTATAAATGAACAAATGGTGTCATGAAAGAAACTTTAATGATCAGAAGACAAATATTTCAATTGTTGTTGTTGTTATGTGCCATCAAGTCGGACCCGACTCATAGCGACCCCTCCTTGGGTTTCCGAGGCAGTATCACTACGGAAGTAGATTGCCCCATCTTCCTTCGAGGAGTGGCTGGTGGATTTGAACTGCCAGCCTTCTGGTTAGCAGTCAAGTGCCTTAGCCACTATGCTACCAGAGCTCCCAAATATTTCAATAAATTACTTTTTTTTTTTGTTTTAGATAGACCTTTCACATCTAGCGTGTTATGATCAGATGTCATATTGCAAGTAGCAAATCTGCTGCAAAAGACCTCTTTAAGGTGTTAAGAAGCAAAGCTATCTCTTTGAAGACTAAGGAAGGTTGGGCAATCCTACTTCCGTAGTGATACTGCCTTGGAAACC